ACAAAGAACAAGTGAAAAAAGCTGCAGTACAAGCCTGGAAAAGCAGCACAAAAGAAAAATGCAACAGTTTATTAGACAGGCACTTTTCTGTTGATAGCAATTGAAATCTACATGCAGCACACATCTGAAAGCAAACAAGTCTAACAAGATCTGAACCCACAAGCTTTTAACAGCATCAACACTAAACCTAGAACTCACCTTCCTTGTGTGGTGTTTCTTGGCTTTATAGAAGGTAGCGCTCTTGCACCAACCAAATAACCGCACAACAGGCACTGCTGGGATTCGAACCCAGGGTCTTCTGTTTACTAGACAGGCGCTTTAACCAACTAAGCCACAGCGCCACATGTAAGCCCCACAGCCGACCAGCCCAAACGGCTATGATGCCGTTTGGTTCCTCACATGGGACCTCGTGGCGCAACGGTAGCGCATCTGACTCCAGATCAGAAGGTTGCGTGTTCAAATCACGTCGGGGTCAAATGCTTGCTCTTTCACATACATGCAGGTGAGGGAGTCTTTTATATGGACTCAGATATCTATGATGACCATCCATGTCTTTGTCGACCTCATGCTAAAAGGTAACATTGCTTAGGTAACAACTCTTTCACCTAATTACCAGTAATACCTTATCATTCTACTGTAATATGTTTCCAAGGTTTGCCCATTGTGCTTGCTGAAAAATAATTTGCCTGAAAATACTACTTAAGATGTTTTCAGAATACAAGTTTCAGTGGACATGTCAAACAATGTCCTGGATTAAGAATGTTTGAATAGTAGAGTTGTCTGTTTAAGTACCGTGCTTTCATTTTTTCAGACAAGAAGACTTTAGACCATCCCATCACTTGGTAAACTTCACCAGCATAACTCATACTCACAACAGTCACTCTGAACTCTAGTTTGGGTATCATTTAGCTCATCCCCTGGATCAGAGAAGGCTAATCCTCATAGAATTTGGAAACCGTCAGCAATTTCAATCAAGATTTGGCTTTTCCAGCCAAGAAGTCAAACACAACTCTGTCTCTCTCTCTCTACGCCCATTCCCATGATCCTGTCTCCCTCTGCTCTCCATACCTGCCTGATCCATCCTGATGCCCCACTTCTGCATGGAGGTTTCATCACCTGAAAATCACTCGCTGCTGTCAAGGATGGCCCACATGGACAGCCTAAAGATCACCATGAGATTACTGTGGATGGTACCAGACAGACACCCTAGATGGCTGTGGATGTTCTTCCTTGGCTAGCCTAAAGACTGCAATTGCTAAGAACAGTTTACACTCAAGTCTCCATCGTCGAACAGTTAATAACTTCAGTTTGACATGATAGACCTAAAGTTAAACCTCTAATGGTGCTCATGCTCAAGTTAACATGATTAGCACTATTTGACAGTTATAGAAGTGGAAAAACGTATAATCACACTACTCAGTGTCACACAGAAAAGGATGTGTTCCCTTTTGAGTCTGGTTCCTCTCAAGGTTTCTTCCTCTTGTTGCCTCAGGGAGTTTTTCCTTGCCACCGTCGCTTCTGGCTTGCCCAGTAGGGATAAATTTAAATTTTTTGGATTTCTATAAAACTGCTTTGTTACAATGTCCAATGTTAAAAGCACTATATTAATAAAATTGAATTGAATTGAAAGTTTACACCTGAGGCTAACTAAACTACATTTTGTTATACTGTTCAAATCTGTATGTGTACAGTGGGGTCCAAAAGTCTGAGCCACATTGAAAATCTGGGATTTTTTTAAATTTAAAACTGGAAATAAACAGTTTTGAAAATTCTATAACAAAAAAGGAAATGTGCAACATCTTGACTTTTTAATATTCAAAATATTGCACAATTTCTAGGTCACTATTTAAATTTAAGCAAATTTGTGACTTTGACCGTGTTAACGCCTTTGTACTAAAGGTCAAATTTTCTGTGAGCCTTATCCCTTCAGTTGAAGCACTATTTCAGAAGACATACAGATGGATCTAATCTAAAATG